ACCTTCGACTTAGGCAGCATCAGTGAATCCCTGTTACTGATGAGGGACTGAGGCAGACAGGCCAAGACACTTGTCCAGGGTAAGACAAGTGGAAAGAGCAGCGACCTCAGGAAACAAACGCCGAGAGTGTGGCCCCTGAATCCGCGCTCTCGTCCACACGCTATTTTGTCTGTCTCAGTTCCTCACAGTGTACGTACTGGTTTGGTGGTGGTTGTTTTATATCACTGCGGTTTTTTTTTTAAAAAAAACACTCATCTGAGGACTACTAGTCTGGCTAGAATATTGCCTAAGGAGAGGCTCACTGTGTTTTAGCAGAAAGCTGGGATTCGGTCCGGTTTTCTAACTGAAGTTCTGGCTATGACTGAAATTATTTCTAACTCTCCACCACTAATGAGGAACCTCACATGAGTACTCATTTGCCGGATCTTCAGACTTCTTCTAAGTAGAAGAGCTGAGCCATCTGGTTTGCTTGTCAACCCCCTGGGTCAGAACAGATGGCGCGCACTGGTTGCCACCAGCCTCTGCAACCTGGCCTCATCCTGCCACGCATGCCTGTTTCCTGTCCTTCTCCCATCCTCTCAGCAGCCGAGAGCAGCTTCTCGTACATTAACTCCCGGGGAGCACGCAGGAGCCATAGCAGATGAAGACTTATATACGCGTTCCGTTAGTTGAGAGCAAAACCAATATATCCATTTTACAGCGCTCACTGCCTGCTTTTTTTGCATTGTCAAGTGGGAACTAATTTTTATGTGTTCATTACATATCAAAGAATTCGTTATCTAGTAAATTTAGTTGTTGATGCATTGTCCTCAAGTCACAGTCATAAAATTTTGAAGACGAAAAATAGTAATTCTGGAAATCAATGGTACCATTTGTTCCTCAACCCTCATTATAAGGTGACCAAACCCCAACATCATCCCTGTCTGATAAAGTTTGGGGAGGGGTATATTTGTGAATAAGGCTGTCCCTTGCTCTGTCCTCAGGAGAGTTATTCAAGAAGCAAGTCGCTTAGCCAAGTGAGTGGTTCGAATTGTTTGATATCTTATTTTCTAGCCAGTCTCCATATTTTCTTGTCCTATATATGTAAGCTTATTCTTTTTTTTTTTTTCATCATCCTCACCCGAAGACATTTTTCCATTTTTTGTTCAGGTAGAGTGGGAGGGAGAGAGAGGAAGAGAGACAGAGAGAAACATCGACGTGAAAGGGACACATCGAGTGGTTGCCACCTGCACGACCAACCAGGGCCGGGGACAAACTGCAACTGAGGTACGTGCCCTTAGTGGGAACTGAACCCGGGTCTCTCCGGACTGCAGGCCGATGCTCTAACCGCTGAGCCAAACCAGCCAGGGCTGTAAGCTTATTCTTAAAATTAAATGGATATATGAGGCTTTTAAGGGGAAGATCTGAATTCTTTAGGAATACCTTACATATGATTTAACTCATCAACAAATATTATCTGGATCTATACTTTATTACATTGTTCCTTTAAAGTAATAAAGGTATAAACGCTCCTTGTTCACTCAGTCAGGTGTAACCAAGGAAGCACCATGATCACACCTTGCCAAGGGGCTGGACGGGCTAGCAGTGAGCTGTCTCCCGAGGGCTAACCAGCTACACCGAACAGTGGAAGTTGTACTTAAGAGTGTGGGAATTTCCCTAATGGGAACAGTGGTGAAAGTACATACCCACTGTCACAACAATTCGGAGCCAGCCATGACCGTGGCCTCGACATACTAAACTGACAGATTAAGGGAGGGAAGTTTCGGGGAAACCAAGTAAATAAGGAGGAACAGGGGGATTTGGGGTCACGAAATCTTTGAGAAATTCACTCTTTTCCCTCCCTGTGGAGGTCTCCGCATCTCCAGTAGAATTTGACAAAATGATTTAATGGGTGACATGGGCTGAGGAATAGGAGCTACATTGCCGATGGCAGATCGCTTTCCAGGGCGAGGGCTAATGGTGTTGAGCAGCGATTGCATGAGAGTGGGGGTCATTTGCAAACTCAGCTGTGAGAAGTAGAGTCTGGACACCGGACCGCTGACTGGTGGAATGGAAGGGTCGTGGTTCAGTGTGTCCGTCCTTCATTGCTTCCTGCAGACTTGAGATATTGACCACGCTGAGGGGTGTGTGTGTGTGTGTGTGTGTGTGTGTGTGTGTGTGTTTAAGGGGAGGAAGACAGAGAAGAAAGAGAGCGAGGCTTAAACTACGGAGCAAAGAAATGGACCCTAAATTACTGAGGCCGGCCGCCAACTCTTCTCTTCACCGTCTTCTCTCAGACTTTCTTTCCGAACTTGCCTTCGCCTCTCCCAAGCCAGTGTAGGGTCTGCAGTACCGCCCCCCACCCACCTCTGCATTACGCTCCCTATTTCACATCCTCTGTCTTAGCTGTGCCTCTGATTGCCCCAAAGGCAGCCCACCCGGGGTAATCGCTACCCCGTCTGACCTTCGTGAAATCTTTGAATGTACCAGTTGGCACTAATTGTACCTAGTAGTTAACTGTACAAAACTTCTCTGTGTTTTCAGGACCTGTTTGCTGACGGAGCGTCTTAATTCATTCCGTAGCTTCGCAGGGTCGCTTCGGGGATTTCAGTTACTTGGAATGTGAAAGGAGAGAGCATCTGAACCCTTGCTTTTATTCCTATAAAAATGGTATTCTTTCCACCCCCAATGTGTATTATTGGTTTCGCATTTCACTTCCAAGGTAAGAAACTAACTTTTGGTAATAGTACTAAATTTAGCATGATCTCTGATTTCTCCCCTAAACTCCCACACACGTATGACTCCTTCGGAGCTTTGGCCGAGCTCTGTGCTATATTAAACTGAGCTGTCTAAATGGCAAATGAATACTTTGACCATTGGTTTCTGATAGAGGGATATAACCACTTGTGACATTTATTAGGTTCGTATTTCTTGAAAAATGTCTATTGCAAAACTAACGTTAGCAATTCTGATGTAACCTAAATAAAGAGAATCTGTGGATTTTAACGACATCTGTGGTAGCTTAAAATAATGCACAGTGAAAAGATATTTTGTCCAGTGTAGGCTGAACTAAAACTAAAAAGAAAATGTCAGTTTTATCACATTAAAATATATCCATGCAACCATTTTCTTCAGGTCTCTAAAACTAACTTTCAACAATTTAAATCATGTTCAATAGTTTAATTATATTTCAAATGATGAAGATCATTTATAAACTGCCACGGATCAATTCATGTTATGTAGCCAATATAATGGAAATTGATAAACTGTCTACTGTGGGCTTAAATAATTCAATTTAATGGATGATACTACGTCTTCAGAACTTTTTGGGGAAAGAAAAGTTATATTGGTATATCTAAGGAAAGTTATATGAGTCTTTTATAGGTCATGATTTTTAAAATTTGCTAGTATTTCCTGATTTCTATATGTCGGTGACATAGATAAGCTCTAAATTGATACTTCAGAGTTAGGGAATATGTTCTTAGCTGCGTGGCTAATCAACTCCCTCTTCCTCTTAATCACTGTGTGTGTGTGTGTGTGTGTGTGTGTGCGGCAGAGGGTAGTTGGTGGTAGTGGGTTCAGGGGGTGGTTCCTAGTCTCACACATTTATTTTGTGACATTTTTTATTTTATTACCAATCAGTCTCAAATTTCAAGTACCAATATATTTTAGATGAACATAAATCTTTCCATTTTCCTTCCATAAACACGTGCCATCGCTCTGAGCGAGGGCACATGCCCCCACGCAGGCGGGGTCCCTTGCTCCAGGGCTCTATAGAAACGTGCGGCTCTTCTGGCTTTTCCATTTTCGTGGCCATCGGCCACCTTAATTAACAAATGAACAAATTCATTGACAAAACAACAAGTATAACTTATGAACAATACTTTTTCAAGACAATCTAGGTGCCTGGAGCTGATGGATTGTTTTAAAAATTAAGAATATGTTATGTTTTCTGAAATCGGGGGTGGAGAAAAGTTATATTCTTCTTAGAAAGTTGTCTGGGTTGCCCAAGTGTTGCCTTAGATTAGGGTCCGAAGTATAATTACTTTATACCAGGCCAGTTAGGAACTGCCGGTAAATAAGAAATGTGATTAAGTCCTTTTGATGGAGTTCTATGGGTCACAGGCACAGTCGCCTTACCAGCCACATAACCACTAGGACTTGTAACTCGAAAAGCACTTATTGCAGAAAATGTGTACAAGTTGAGATGGTTTTAATTTATTTAGAATGACAAAATAAGGCGACACGAAACACATTAAATCACACAGTCTCAAGAAGCACGGCATAAATGCAAGAAGTTGTGGGGGCAGGACACCGCTGAACACATGACCTGCACTGGGAACTCACTGAAGAACAAATTCCGTGAATCAGTCCTAAGCGCTCGCTCCCTACAATGCCAGCCAATAAGGGACTGAAGCGTGAACAGCAAACCCTTTTCTACTTCCAGGCTATGTTTGCATAATCTTTTGGAAAACATTAACATCTCCCTAGTTTAGCGATCCCAAGAGTTATGGGTAAAATGCGCATCGAGGTGTTAATCCTTTTGTAGACATCACTCAGAACCTTCCACATGTTTGCTTACGTAGCCACACCACTCCTGTGACACAGGAGAAAAACGATGCTGGAAGGCCCGTGGTTGAGTGCCCAGAGAGTTCGGGTGATTTTTCTAGAATTAGCAGCAGAGCCCACATGTAGACCAGGGTTCGCTGTCTTTGCTCTATTCGCTTAGAAACACCTCTGTTTGAATGGCAAGAGCCACAGAAATGCAAGCATCCACTTACTGCAACTGGATTTGCATAAAACACTGCAGTCAAAGGGATACACAAATCAAGTCCAGACTCATTTGGCCTCTGATCTTCTGCTGTGTACCCTGGTCAATGTCCTTCTGACACATGTGCGTAAACTAAGCGCGTTTTTCCTTCTACATGAGGTTGCCTGGCTTCCCTCTAGACCCCTGTCCCTCTCCCACACAGCGGTGTGCACAGACGCTCCCAGCAGGGCGCCACATGCCAACGACTCACATGGTGAAGACGTCCAGGGTGTCTCCGGCGGTCCTCGCCATCTCGAAGTAGGTCTGCAGGATGTTGACGGTCCCGGAGAGCGCCTCATGACCGCAGCCACAGAACAGGGCCACGCCGGCGTACAGCAGGATGGTGGCGAGCAGAGAGGCGTAGGGGATGCCTCCCAGGCATTTAATACAGCATTCGAAACACCCTGCACAGGTCAACAGAGAAAGGGAGAAATCAATGTTTTCCCGACGTCAGCATGATGGGCAAGCAGGTGTGCATTCTAGGTGACGTCGGGTCAGCCTCGTCAATCCCCTCCTAGGCTGCCCTGCTGCTATGAACGGCCGGTTCCTTAGGGAAACCCTTCTTCCCCACGAGAGCACACCCGCTCAGCTGCCGGCCCCTTCCTCAACCCCCCACCGGCAAAAGCCCTCCCTGCACACCCAGACACCCTGTGACCATTGAGCTCCACGACAGGCATGCCCATCATTCCCTCTTATTGCTCTCGAGTCCACATGCTGAAGCTTCCGTGTCAGTGAGATGTGTCCTTTGGAACGCCCTGTGGCTGTCTCTTCCCAACACTGAGTCCACACCTGTCAGTTGGGAACCCAGCTGAGTGAACTTGCCACCAGCAATCTTTAACAGCGGAAGAGAACAGACCGACAATGTCTGAGGGCAGGGCATGAGCTCAGGCAAGGTATTTGGGCATCTTTTTGGTTCAGATGTTTATGGGGGTTGCTTTTATGGTCACCCACAGTGCAGATGTATTTCTTGCTGTGCTCATGGCGAACCAAACGAGAAAGACATCGGCGCAGGGGAAAGAGAGGCCAGGGCAGGTTGGAGTCCTCACCCGCCACTGTGTGTGCTCCCAGCAAGTTCATTCTTCTGATTTCATCACCGGCTAAAAGGCGACAGTAAGAATTTCCCGCAAACGATTTTTGTGAGCATTAAACGAGATGATACATAAAACAGTGCGTGACAGAGGCACTCCTCAGCAAACTGCCATTATTAGATGTAACTAACATTATAAATATTAATCATGATTGCACTGTGATGAGGGTTTCAAATTTCTCTGACCACATCATCACTTTTGAAGTCTTGTCACGCTAGCCTTAGTTTTCAAAAATTGGCTTTAAGCGTTGAGTCTGAGAAGTGAGAAAACCATTGTTGCTAATATTCGAATTAAGCGTCAGAATTTTCTAGTTGACTGCGAGGTATCTTCTGAAAGATGGACTAGAAATGCTGAGGTCTATCTGTTTTGCACAGAGAAATACGGATGAGATGCTGTGTGCCAGCCCGTGGTGAGGAGGGGCATCTAGGTAAGGGGCTGACAGGCTAAGGGGACACTGATGTGTCTCACTCGGGCCACGTGTGCCCCCCCCTACACACATTCTATTCCAAAGAATTCCTCCTGCTTTTCTCTTTTTGGAAATTCTTGATCAAATCTCTCTTTTGTAATGTTGAAGCTGCTCAAAAACTCTCCACATCATTGACTTTTTCTTTCTTCAGGAACAAATAACACACTAGATTGGAAAAGGCATTGTCCTTTATTGTCCTTAAGTCACAGGGAGACCCGTGTGCACTTCATCCGGAATGCACATATGTTCGTAGCAACACATGACACACACAGTGAGTGCAAAGGTCCTGTGAGAAGTAACTTCATAGTCAGAGGGTGGGCTGGTCTGCTGTGTTAACACTGACCGCTGAACTGACCTTAAGAGAATGTCGGTTCATCTCATCTGCTCCGGAGGAGGTGAAACAGGGAGCCTGCATACCTCCCTGCTTCCGTAGCTCTTGCTTGTGCAGGTGAAATCATTTCCTGAACACTCCTCCCCCCAGTGCGTGCGCGCACACACACACACACACACACACACACCCCACGTGGGGAAGTAGGAAAGGTTAGAACAGCTTGACACTTCATGTGATAGGAAGAAATATCTCCAGCAGATGGACGAGACTGGTGTGTGTAGTATCTGAATGTCATTGAACACAGTTGTGGGTGGGGATGAGCCGGGTAGCAGCAAAATCTGTGGACTGTTCTCTGTCTCTCCATGTCATAAAATGTACGTCTTCCTGATCATTTAAAAATTTAAACCAAAAGAAATAAAATTAGTACCAACCCAAGGAAGAGTTACTCCTAAGTTTGGCCAGTGCCCCAGATGGCCCCACGACCTCAAATCCCGTTCCTGTGTGATTTCTCTCCCCATTACTGGTGAAGAATTTGATAGGGGTTTGTGAGATTCCTACTGCAGGCACGAAGTGTCAAGACCAGAATAGCATGCTCAGCCAAACCCTTCAGAATGGAAGTTCAGATGTAAAGAAAACAGTCTGAACATCAAGTGTACGGATAGAAATGACCTCTGCTGGGTCTTGACCTAAAGCCTAGAACGGAATGGAGTTGAAATCAGGAGGCGCCGGGCTCAGGAACACACGAAGGGAGACACTCACAGGTGCTCACCCTACTGCCCCCAGGACGCCCGATTCATCCCTTCACTAATTCAGAGTCAGTTTCTATTCATTTCACGTTTTCTTGACTGACGTCCAGATGGTCCAATACCAGCCTCCATGCAGGAAAGTTAACCCTAGTTACCTAAACTATATATTCCCAGGGCGTGGGGACAGTCATTAATTATAGCTTCAACTGAGGAGTGACTTTTCAGTCGCATGAGAAAGATCGCAATACGGGGTGAACCCAAACGGACAGCCCTGAGTTAACAGGCATTTACGAAGGAGCTTAGGATCTACAAATTAAACGGGAGTATTTCTTTGACTCCCGACGTAAATGCTGCCACTTAAATTGCTCAGAACTTCATCACCCGTAGGATACGTGCACCTTCCTCTTAACCTCTGTTCCTGCCAGCTCAGCCCAGAATCCTTCCCTTTAAGCCCTGCTCCTCTGCAACACTTGCACGCAAAGACAGACCCACGAAGTATCCCGTCTTGCACATTGTGCACTTGTGACCGGCTGGGTACTGATGACCCCGCTCTTCGCTGGGCTTGAGCTGCCGACTGGATGGGAACGAGGGCTCGGAGCCCCTCTGGAAGCGGGGCTCCCTTCAGCACTCTCTCCAGCGCCCAGAGCCCCACGCAGCTGCTGGCAGGGGACGCAGCTCCTCCACACCCACGGTGAGAAGCGGTCCTGGCAGAGCCGCGCGTTGCCTCGGCAACCGGCTCCTGGGAGATGCGCCCAGGAGATGCGCCCAGGAGATGCGCCCAGCCGCTCCCCCGCTGCGGCTGCGGCCTCTGCGGCCACCCGTGCCCACGTTTTACGGCCCCCCGGAGGAGAAACCGGCCTGTTGAATGAGTATCACTGAAAGCAAGGCTGGCCCTGGAGAAAACACTCCCTTCAGAAATTATAAAGACAAAGGAGGGCGCCTTGCAGCAGAATCATTGTAAGGACGGGGTATAGTGAGGCTGGGGGCCCGTGGGCAGGGACAGAGCGAGGCTTCAGGTACTGGGCACGGAATTTGCATGCGAGGAGCTACTACCTGCGACACAGAGAAGCATTTCTCAGATCAGTTGCTCGATGCGTCCGCTCCCACGAATGGACCCTGAAGGAGAGGGTGGTGGGACTTTCAACACCGTCCGAAACATCAGCGTCGCCCACGGTTCTGTGGGGCATCGGTTGACTTATCCCAACACAGAAACGCCCAAGGAAATAAAAAGTCTTGAGATAGTCTATTTTTTTTTTTTTTGAAGATGCGATATATGGTTAATTTACTTCTATTTAAACGTAGTGAAGTAAACACCAGCCTTTGCCTTTGCTCACTCCACAAAGTGCCCCACAATAAGTGATGGGAAAGGACTAAAAACCAATAAAACAGTCCGGCTGGTGTGGCTCAGTGGTTGAGCCTCGACCCTGCACCAAGAGGTCGCTGGTTTGATTCCCGGTCAGGACACAGGCCCAGGTTGTGGGCCAAACCCCCAGTGAGGGGCGTGCAGGAGGCGGTCAATTGATGTTCTCTCTCATCGATGTTCTCTCTCCTTCTCACTTCCTCTCTCTCTAAAAATCAATAAAGGAAACAAAAATTTAAAACACAAACAGAAACCAATGAAACAGGTACCGTGCGGCGGCGGATCCTGGAAAGGAGGTTGACAGAGGGGACGGACGAGGACAGTCTGCTCAGGGACACGGTTTCAGCAGCCTTTACCAGTGGGCTGGCTCCTCTCTCCCAGCCTGCAGCAGCACCTTGTCATCACCAGGCGTCCAGCCCGCCGCGTCTGACCGTGGGCGGTCCCTTCCACTCCGCGGGTCCACAGGCCTGTCCCGGGGCCACAGCCACCACACTGCTGCAGAGCGGGGCTCCTTTGTCATGGAGGAAGTTCCCCAACTTGCCCGTCTTCCTCTTGAACGTCCTGCTATTCGAGGCCTCTCGCATTGCCACCGGCATTTTAGATGCCGCGAGTGAACTCATTTACAGGCATTTACAATCTTAACATACGTTTTAGAATTTATAATGAAATTGTAGATAACTTTGTTTTATAATATTTTTAATTTATTCATCTTCACATATTCTGTTTCCCTAATAATTTCAATTTCCTTCCTTCCTTCCTTCCTTCCTTCCTTCCTTCCTTCCTTCCTTCCTCCCTCCCTCCCTCCCTTCTTCCCTTCCTTCCTTCCTCCCTTCCTTCCTTCCTTCCTTCCTTCCTTCCTTCCTTCCTTCCTTCCTTCCTTCCTTCCTTCCTTCCGCACCACCTCACCCCTGTCTCCCTCCCTCCTTTCCTCCCTCTCTCTCTCTCTGATTTTAAAGTGCACAGTTAGGACAGCCCATGTTTAAAACAGCACATCCTTTTCATTCCGGTTTTGTTGTAAGAGGTCCACCCCAGGTTAGCAGTGAGCTCTCTGCCCATGCAGAGACAAAGGCTGATGAGAAGACATCCCCCTAACCCCCGACAGTGCAAACATCAGATGGGCATCGGGAAGCTCTCACTGTACAAAGTGAACACTCTGGGCTGCGTCAATGGTGGGGGAATGTCTCCCCTCAACCGTCAAGTTCTCACTACACAGAGGCCCATACACACAGGGACAGTATCAGTGGGTATCATAGTAAGTAATGCCAATGTTTTTCAATATGACTCTTCTTTTTGGTGTGACTATTTTATGCATCATCAATTTCTTTTCTAAACTGTCTTTAGTTTTACTTTCTGTGGCTACATTTTGCTATACATTTCCTAATGTCTTACAGTGAATGCTGCGCTCATTAACTT